AGACGGAGGTGTTTCCGTTCCTAAAAGGGAATAAAGTGCGGGGACGAGTTTGTGAGTCTGACGGTTCTGATCTGTGGGCCGCACCAAGGCTCCATAGTGTCCAGACTCCAGACGTCGTCCAGTCCGGAAGACAGTTGAGGTCGTAGCTTGGAGAGTTTTGTCATTTATCTCATTTGATGAGCTCAGACGGATGTGTCCCAGGGCTCATTGCCCCCTTCATAATACTGGAAGAAGGACGCTGAATTTGTCCTTAAGAACAACGAGGAGAAATGGGGCGAGAATCAAGTCAGGAGCTATTGAAGAGACTTGGGCTAACCCAATTTGGAGTGGAGAAGCCTCCGGTAGGATATTGCCCAATTTGGTCGGCCTCCCACGTGAGGGGCGGAGGGATCTCCGTGTATCTCGTCATACTGCGAGGTCATGGAGACGTTGAGATGTTACTGTAGAGATGGAGCGCTGGCTCTAAATTCGCGGCTTCTCCCGCTGATGGAGGAATGAAGAATCAGAAGATTTCATTCATTCCTTCTCAGTCGAGGCCGGATTCTCCTGAACAACATCAAAGCATCCGTTCCGTTTCGAGAGAGCTCTCCAGAACGGTCAAAATGTCGAAATTAGAACAATTCCCTTTATCTAAGGGATGGAGCTTCAGAGACAGTGAAGACACATCGGAAGATGCGTGGATGCCGGTCCCTGTTGTCCCTTCCGTCGTCCATCAGGATCTTCAAGCAAATAACAAGTATGGCAACGTTTCAGTCCGGCATTAATTGATCGAGCTAACCATTGCAATTGGGGCTACAGGCTGAAGGATCCCTATATCGGATTCAACGAGCTCGAGGCGAGATGGGTCAACGAGAAGTCATGGACCTACAAAACTGCTTTCCAGAAACCAGCTGCTCCTGCTGGTTCTTGCATTGTCCTAGCATTCGACGGCCTGGACACATTTGCTAAGGTCAAGCTTGACGGCAACGTCATCCTCGAGAACGACAACATGTTCCTTGCTCGTCGCGTCGACGTCACCAAGGCGCTGGAAGCCGAGGGTGACCACGTTTTAGAAATCGACTTCGACTGTGCTTTTCTGCGTGCAAAAGAGCTTCGCAAGCAGGATCCCAAGCACAATTGGGCCTCCTTCAATGGTGACCCTTCCAGACTGAGTGTAAGGAAAGCCCAATACCATTGGGGCTGGGACTGGGGCCCTGTCATCATGACCGCTGGTATCTGGAGAGAAGTGCGACTTGAGGTTTATTCCGCAAGAGTCGCGGATCTTTGGACCGAAGTGCAATTGGCTTCGGACCATCAGAGTGCTCGGGTTACTGCTTTTGCTGAAGTGGAGTGTGTAGACTCTGGTTCGCACAAGGCTTGTTTCACTCTCAGGTTGCATGGCGAAGAAATCGCCAGAGAGGAGATTGGTGTGACCGAGAATGGCACCGCCAAGGCTACCTTCGATGTCAAGGAGCCTTCACTCTGGTGGCCCCATGGCTACGGTGACGCCACCCTTTACGAAGTATCAGTGTCTCTGCACAAGGAACAGGAGGAACTTCACCAAGTTTCCAAGAAGTTCGGTATCAGAACCGCCGAGGTCATTCAGCAGCCTGACAAGCACGGAAAGTCCTTCTTCTTCCGTATCAATGGCGTCGATATCTTCTGTGGCGGTTCCTGTTGGATCCCAGCCGATAATCTCCTTCCCAGCATCACTGCTGAGCGATACCGCAAATGGATTGAGCTCATGGTTCATGGCCGTCAAGTGATGATCAGGTAAGCTTGATTATTAGCCTCGTCATCCCCTTGGATGCATAGCTAACAGTTAGCAGGGTATGGGGTGGTGGCATCTATGAGGATAACAGCTTCTATGACGCGTGCGATGAACTCGGTGTGCTGGTTTGGCAAGATTTTATGTTCGGCTGTGGAAACTACCCAACCTGGCCCAACCTGCTCGAGTCCATCCGAAAGGAATCTGTCTACAACGTGCGTAGGCTGCGTCACCACCCATCCATTGTCATTTGGGTTGGCAACAATGAAGACTACCAGGTTCAGGAGCAGGCAGGTCTCACTTACAACTATGAGGACAAGGACCCCGAAAGCTGGTTGAAGACCGATTTTCCTGCCCGTTACATCTATGAGAAACTCCTCCCAGAGGTGGTTCAAGAATTCTCTCCCAGTACTTTCTATCACCCTGGTAGTCCTTGGGGTGATGGGAAGACCACGTCCGACCCCACCGTTGGTGACATGCATCAATGGAACGGTACGTTCATTGCGTCCCACTTGCACTGATCCTTAATTAATGCTGGCAATAGTTTGGCACGGCACGCAGGAGAAATACCAGATTTTTGATACCCTCGGCGGGCGATTCAACAGTGAGTTTGGAATGGAAGCATTCCCGCACATGTCGACTATCGACTACTTTGTGGAGAACGAAGCGGACAAGTATCCTCAATCGCATGTCCTTGACTTTCATAACAAGGCCGACGGCCATGAGCGCAGAATAGCTACATACCTTGTTGAAAACTTGAGGACGGCAACAGACCTGGAGGTATGCAATGCTGCTGCCCTCGTAACCATACGTGATTTCATGACTGACTCAAAATGCAGACACACATTTACCTTACACAGGTCGTTCAAGCAGAGACAATGATGTTCGGATACCGGGGATGGCGTCGCCAATGGGGTGACGAGAGACACTGTGGTGGTGCTCTCCTCTGGCAGCTGAACGACTGTTGGCCTACAATCTCCTGGGCCATCGTGGACTATTTCCTGCGGCCAAAGCCTGCGTTCTACGCTGTGGCACGAGTGCTGAACCCTATCGCGGTTGGTGTTCGTAGAGAACATCATGACTGGAGCGTGACCCACGCACAGCCACCCAAGACGAGCAAGTTCGAACTCTGGGTTGCCAGCAGTCGGCAACAAGAGATCCAAGGCACGGTGGAGCTGAAGTTCCTTTCCGTCAACACTGGCCTTGAAGTCCGGGAGCGCATTGTGCACGAGAACGTCAGCATAGTGCCCAATGGCACAACCAACCTCATTGTGGACGGTCTAATCGACCACAAAGTCCACCACGAACCTCATGTCCTTGCTGCTCGCATCTGGGTCGACGGCCAGCTTGTGGCAAGGGATGTGGACTGGCCTCAACCATTCAAGTACCTTGATCTCTCGGATCGGGGTCTTGAGGTCAAGAAGGTCTCTGAATCGGAGGATGAGCAGACGCTGCTCATCAGCACGCAAAAGCCAGTTAAGTGCCTGGTCTTCGAGGAGCGTGAGGGTGTTAGAATCAGTGACAGTGCTATGGACATTGTGCCTGGTGACGACCAAAGAGTGACCATCAGAGGCCTGAAGCCGGGTGACGCTCCTCTTAAGTACAAGTTCCTTGGTCAGTAGAAGTCACTTGGGGTTCTGGAGTTTACGGCACACATATCGCAGGCGAGGCATCGCATTGCCCATTCAGAATGAATACTCTTATGATGAATACTGTGAATTACCTCATACACCAATCTAGCCAGAAAATAGAATAGAATATTCCTTAAACTACGCACTCTCCGAAGTAAGGGTCGGCTGTCCTGAATGCAGATCTTATCAGATAACGATCACCCCAATATGGTTAAGCCTAGCGGAGAAATGACGACCATGACCGTCAGCCAACGCAATTTGTACAATCACCCCAAAACACACCAACTCCCAGTAACACCACTCCATGGCAGGTAACAAGCGATCGTGGGAAGGCAATCTTGTGAGCCCCGAGACGACACAGACAAGCATGGCCGCAGCACCAATCGACCAGCCTTCTACACATATTCTCTCCATGTTCGAGACCTTCCGCGACGAACTCGATCAGCACCACGACCGCCGAGAACGGGTCATCAAGATAAGCAGAGACATTACAGCCCTGAGCAAGAAGATGTTAGTTCCCTGTCTGGTCCATCCCAATTACACGCACTCAATGCACAGCTCAATTCGCATATGCTAACGTTTCCAACTACCAGAATCTTTTCGTTACAACGGTTAGTCTACCGATCAATGATCCTCACGTCAGAATCAAAGTGAACACCATTAACAATCTCCCAGAATCCGCACAATAAAAGCTCCCCTGCCCACCCCAATCGCCAAAGAGACCAAAACCCGCTTCGACCAAATCTCCACCCTCTTCCAGAACGTCATCCCCGACGTCACAGGCCTCAACAGCTGGCGCTACCAGCGCCAACTCAGCGGTGCCATCCAGGAATTCATCGAAGCCCTCTCCTTCAACCACTACCTACAGACCCAAACCCTCATCTCGCACGCCGAAGTCGTCAAACACCTTCCCGCTGAGATTCTCGTCACGGAGGAAGATTACCTGTTGGGCTTGTTCGATCTGACGGGTGAAATGATGCGGTTTGCCATTACGTCGCTGTCGACCGGGACGGGTGGACAGGCAGATAGCGGCGGTGATGATCTGGCGGCGCGGGATATTTCTGGCGCTGGTGCGAATCAGAATCTGCCGAAGCTGCCGGCCACGCAGGCGGGTATTGTGGTTGATTTGAGGGAGATGCGGTCGTCATTTGAGTTGCTGAGTGTGCCGCGGCGGCATGCAAATAATATGTTTCGGGATATGGGGAAGAAGGTGGATGTTATGCAGAACAGTGTGGAGAAGGTCGAGCGGGCTGCGTATGGGATCTTGGTGCGTGGTAGTGAGCGGCCGTCGGGGTGGACGCCGGATTTGTCGGCGCCGGTTGATATGGAGGTTTATTGATTACATGCGTATCTGTCGTGCATCGCAGTTGTCCGGGTCGCATGTTCTCATCTCCATAACGAATCACGGTTACCATGCAGGTAATACCAAAAAGTCATGACATTGTCAATCTCATAAAAGCGTGTGCATCATCAAGTAAAGATCAGCATAAGCATAAGCATGTTACGGAGGCTATTGCCGTCCCCCCATTCAAAGCATATACCCATCAAAAACGCCCAATTGCCCATCCCGATTCCATATCGGTCTCCATGAATCCTAATCAACCCGTCCAGGACTACTGCGCCTACACAGCCGGGCACCTCGGATCCTCATCCTCCGTCAAGATACCCTGCGAGATTAGCTCCTCCGGCTGCGGTCTACGCTGCAGCTTCTGGTCCAGGTTATCCGCAAGCATATGCTTCTCGAGCTCCTTTGCGTTAGCCTGCAGCGCGGGCGCGGCGTTGGTATGCGGGAGGATGTTACCTATTATGGAGCGATCAGCATTCTCTATCCATACTTCAATCCAGCATGTCGTTCCTATCAATCTCCGCTGGAGAGGGTTCAAGGAAAGGGAAACCCACGTTCAACGAGCTCTTCCCGATCAGGACGATGCTCGAGATGTTTCTTCAGGCTGTCTGTTGTACGCTGGCGAGCGAGTTCTGCTCTGGCTGCCTGGAGAGATCTACGGTTCCGAGTATGTCTTAGTATCCGTGCATGGCCATGTAGGATTCAGACTCGGGCGTGGTAGTTGGTAGTCACTTACGGCGCCACGGTAGTATCGAGCAGGATATGTCTTTCTTTGAGATCCTGGGGGTCGGGACGAGTCTGGAGGTGTTTCTCGAGAGAATTGCGACGTTCCATAGACGAGGCAGAGAGGGGACTCTCGTCGATTTCGGCGTTGGGGATGATGATATTGTCCATCATACCGATAGCGATAGCGATAGCGATAGCGGGGTGGTGATACGGGAGGACTGAGATATATACTTGCGGAGACTCAACTGACTACTTTCACGAGACGCAGTTACGAATTCGAAGAAAACAGTTGCAATGGAATAAGAGCAGAGACCAGGCTAATAATTAGTGATGGAGGAGAACGTGATGAGGTCCGAAGTGATGATGGTGTTGACACAGAAGAATGGTAGGTCAAGTGATGATGCGGAGGCCAGTTCCACGGGACCTATGAGGGTGAGTCGGCGGGGCAACAGAAGTCGGAAGTATCAGCCAATGTCACCCCGCATACATCAAACGGAAGACGTCGCATCAAAAGTCTGATTTGTATGCTAATTTTCCTCACTGAATTTAGAAATGAAGACTGGGATACACTCATCCACTCTGACAATAAAAGAAGTAAGCATCACACATGTCAATTTGCTGACCCTCGATACCGCCGCCTTTCTGCGAAACCATCCCGAGAGTGGCATCATATTGTCCAACAAAATCAAGCAACGAAACAACAACTCCCATCTGTGTGTTTCCAGTATGGACGTGTTGAAGGGGAAGAATTAGATCTTTGGACCGTAAAATGATGGGTCCTGAAGTACCATCTGTAAAGTGGAAACGAATTGAAGACATCAGCGTGTTTCGCACTGTAAAAGAAAGTCAACGGCATAGGAAATCTTCAGATCCCCGCAGCTAGACTCGAGACCATTTCTGATGCTTCAAACCCTTTTGATCGTAGTTGCGATGCAGAATGATACCATCTGATCGGAACCGTGCTGTGCTCGATTCGCGATCGTCTGCCTCATTCCAGTACATGCATGCCACACGCTCGGGAGAACCCGTCTGCCTCATCCATAGGCCACCGGTCAACTTTCGAAATCCGACCAGTACGAAGTACAGCCAATGCAGATAATTCCCTTCTCTGCTTCGAATAACAACCGTAGAGGTCTATTTTGAGAAACTTGCAGAAGTCCGGTTCGCCAGTCGGACGATTGACGAACCTTTGCCTCCCCGTCAAGGAACCCAGAGCTTGCCTCGACCACGAGTGTTACCACGAGAGGGTCCTCGGGATGCTCCGCGACGACCACGAGATGCGCCAGCAAGACCACGAGCGGCCCCAGCTTGGGTGCTCAGGTCGACGGTAGGCTGTTGCTTGGTACTGGGACCTAAGGATCGACTGAAAGAATCGGGATCGATGGGCTGCGTGGGGATCTCAACCGTACTCTCCAGGGGAGCTGCGACCACTTTGGGAGCAGTGGTTTTACGGTTGGTGGATGCGCGGGAACCCCCGCCTCTCGATACTCCTTTTCCACGGCCACGAGGCACGAACACCAATTCATCCTCGTCACTTTCGTCCTCGTATGAGAGCAGTGATTTCGGCTCAGACACCTGGGTCTTTTCAACGTACTTGCAACGGTTCTTGTACTCTCGTTCTTCATACTGGATGGAAGTTCGCAGTTGATGGATGTTTTTAACGGCAATACCGAACTTCTGAGCCCACAGTCCCGTTACGTGATCATTTGTGACGAGGATGCAAGTCTTCGCTGCATTAGTGGCGTCGGGACCACTGTGCAAGCGCCATAGAATGGCACTGAGAAGCGGACGAAGCGCCACGGGAACTGTAGGAACCACGGACCCCGAGGCAGTGCGCCGATGTCCGCTCTCATTCTTCAAAGTCGCCTCATTTTGTACTCCACCGTTTGCAACCGTGCGCAGATTGGACTCCTCCGGGCTTGTGCGCGAACTTCTCGACGAGGGTGATGAGGCAGGATTGCTGTGCGTACCCGCGGACGGAATCGACGCGGCGTCGGATTCGGTCTTGAAGTTCAGCTTGTTAAGAAGCATCTGCGACAAATCATCCGGGGCCGCGCCATTTTTCTTTGTGCTGCTCTTCATCTTCTCGGCTGGCGTCTCCAGAGGCGACTGCTCCTCCGCGTCATCTCCGGTAGGCGCCTCGGTTTCCTCCTCAAACTCCGGCAGGAAGAACTTCTCCGCCTCTTCCCAATTTTCGTACTGCTCCATCGGGCCTTGGAGAACGACGCTATCGGCAGGAATATTATCTTTGCCGGAAGTGACTCGATCGAGAAAGCGGACAGCCTCACGGGAGTTGATGGCGATCTGGGATCCGGCTCTTTTCAACGCATGTAGGCGTTCAAGGGCTGGAAAACAGCAGAAAACCTAATGAGCGAGCGGGACGGAGGACGGCGTCTCGGAAATCAATGTACTTACTGTAAAGAGGGACGATGAGGGTAATGGCGCCGCTTGTGGTCCATCTTTTGATTTCGCTGATGTTGGTGGTTAGGGCCGTTTCGTCCACGGCACAATGGAAGACCTTGCGTCCGGCCGACATGGCTCTCAATGAGTGAAGGGCGACCGGGCGCTTTGATGGAAAAAATCGAACGATCAAGGCAGGACAGCGCAGTCCTACACTAGACAGCTAGCTTTGACGACCGCGACTAGGCCGCAGTGCGATGTTAGCGGGATGCTAGAACTCCCGAAGGAGGTTTGGGTAGTTGAAACGGAGGCGGAGGACTTTGGGAATGTGGGGGCATGAATGAAGTGGATGCAGGTAGCAGAGCCAGACAGCACGGACAACCACCATGTGTACAGCTTATACTCACAAGAGAACACTGTTTCACAAGTAAAGCTCATCAGCAGCATCTTGTGGTTCTGGATAATAATGAATGTGAACGGTAGTGAGCCCGAGAGAAAGGAAGTGTAACTGATCCTAAAGCGGCGGATCAACTCGAAGCCGCGGAGAATTAGGTCGATCAGAGCCTTTGACTAAGCACTAAGGCGCTAAGTTAAGTCAACTACATTGCAGACGGTGATGATGTGACGCAGAAGGAAACCGCCATCCTTATCCAACAGATTATGCTAAAGTCTCTAGCTGGATAGGATCATGTACATTATTATTCCCTGTGTTACATTCTATCGCACAGCAGTGAAGGTCTAAGCTATTCGTGTGTGCTAGCGCTCCAACGCAAAATCGATATGTATTCAAGGCAAGAGAACAGAAATGCTGTCCTACAAGTCCTTCAAAATCGTATCATGGCCACAATAAAAAAGGGTTCTTCAGGTCGCCTTCTTAATTAGACCCTCTGAGTCGTTGACACGCTGTGCCCATTCACTAATCGCGAAGAGTCAGCGTCTGAACTCACAGCCACAAGGCAACGAAAAGAGAAAGATACTTACGTCCAGCTCCCGTCGTAAACCCTCCGAAGACTGGGATTTCCATACTCTGTGACATTCAAAGCAGTTTCAATGATACTGGCCGTCACGCCGGTTCCGCATGTGCTGATGATGGACTTGGTTTCATCGACTTCGTGTTTCTGAAAGACCTTGCGCAGCTCTTCAGGAGAAAGATAGGTCTTTGTTTCAGGGTCAAGAAGTTCCTGAAAAGGCAAGCTCTTGGAGCCAGGGATATGTCCCGAAGACAAGCCCGGGCGCGGTTCGGGATCAGTACCCGCCCATCGCCCGTAAGATCTAGCATCCAGGATCTCGACCTCCTTTGATCCTTCTTTTCGGTGTTCCTTGGCGATCTCCTTCAACTCCCGGTACGGAATCACCAGCTTAGAGTCGAATTGTGGGAGTGGGTAGCTGGTCTTCTCCACAGGCGCTGGCTCCCCAGTCTCCGTCGGATAGCCTTCACGAACCCACAGCCTGTAGTTGTTGAGGACATGAACCCTGGGATGCCCAAATACTCGTAAGGTCCAGCCGACACGAGGGGCGCTGAAGATACCAAGCTCTTCCGTATCGTAAACCACAACCTCGTCGTCGCGTCGAATACCAAGCTCGCTCATCGCCTCGGCAAACGTTTCCACAGTAGGAAGCATATGCGGGTAGGGAGATTCAGGGTCCTTGATCGCGTCTAGATCGAAGAATCGTGCCTGAGGGATTCGATGCTTTCGAAATGCATCAATGCCTTTGCGGCCCTCGGGGTCATTGGGCATAAACCACGCGGCACATAGAGGGATTACGCGCGGAGAAGTGGAGATCTTCGTCGTCGGATTCTTCTTCAAAGCTTCATGGAGTTCCCTGGGTGACACGAGGTAGGAAGAGAATGAGATCTGGCGACTCTGATGCTGAGAAATAGCCATGGTAGAGCGCATCAAGCGAGTCGGTGAGGGAATGCTACGAAGAGTCGCAAAAGCCATACTCGCGACGAGGTCTCAGTGGGAATAATCGATAAAATAATTCACATACCGAATGACGAATATCGTGATCAAAGTAGGTCAGTAACCCTCCACAAACTGGGTAGACTGTAGAGGGAAGTGTACGGATGGCGGGGGAGTCTTTTCCATCCAGTTATCTAGGCGTGCGGAGTCGGCCACTGCTTCTCCGCCATGTGAAAGAGGTAAACAACTCCGCGCTTATCGTCGCAACTCCGCTAGGATACCTGCAAGCTGTGTGTCTTCTTACCCAGTTGAAACACAACGTTCGTACAGCATAGAAGACTGACTCTTCAAGATGAAAGTTACTATCAAAGAATGGAATGCCGTCGCTACCTGGCGCTGGGATATGCCCGAAGATGATGTCTGTGGTATATGCCGTGTTCAATTTGATGGAACATGCCCAACCTGCAAATTTCCGGGAGACGACTGCTCACTTTGTGAGTTATCTTCCCACTCGACTTTGGCGACGGGGACATGAAGCTGATCTGTAACTCTACATCTTACAGTACTCGGAAAATGCGGCCACTCTTTCCATATGGTGCGATTGTGGATCTTTTTGTCCTCATTTTATGAAGCCGCTAACTGGATCACTTTCCTGAACAGCATTGCCTTATGACTTGGATTCAACAAGAGTCTTCGAAAGGATTGTGCCCAATGTGCAGACAAAGTATGTACATTCTTGCTCCTGTTTTTGATCTAGTGCTAATGAGCTCTACAGAGTTTGAGTGGAAGCAAAATGACGAGTGAGGGTGATGATATTGCCGACTATTTTCACTGATTCTAGGGTAAACGGAGTGTTAGGAGTTCTGATGTACATGATACCCTTGTTATTTCCTTTGTCTCTTCCTCATGACAGCAAAAAGCTGCTCTATTCATTTTGATGCGCTTTCAGAAAGCGTGCTTTGCAAGTCACCTGACTTTATCGATAAGGAGTCGACCCCCCAGCCATGTGATGATGAGCCATTCCGTAGCTTGAGACAGATCCTCGTTGACCAGGCCAAATCGAACCGCCTCCTCAATATCATCCGGAACCCAAGGATGTAGCTGCGCTGCTGGAGATGTCTTTACCAACACAAACCATATCCCCCGCCCAATACTCATCCTCTCCTCAACACGCCTCCCGAGGATTCTCCGGTCCCAAAGCACTATCACGACCACAGAGCTTTGATCGACCTCCTACCGCGCAACGAGTCAGCCACTCTCCGGAGCAGCAAACAACCTACGATGTAGCAGGCGATACCTCATCTCTACAACCCGGGGATGATGACCATCATGAAACAAGTTCCGCTTCACACCCATCATTTCAGCCCTTCTTCACGCTCATAGAGGATGCCAACACCTCCGAATACTACCACCCAGCAGTCCACTACATCTTCTCCGACGACGACACGGACATCGTAACGGAAGCAGCTCTACGTGCCCTTGAAACGGAGCAAGATGTCTCTCCCGATCCGTCAAAAGGGAAGGCAAAGTCAGCGAACAATCAACCACCGACGCAGCAGCAGGACGCAGCGGGAAACGAGACTGCCGGTCCGGAGGACGATGAGCCCCTCCTACCCCCTCCGGTCCCCGGCGTTCGCGACAACTACATAATCCTCGACATGGAGCTCGCGAATCCTGATGATGCGAAACACTTGAGCTCGGATCCGTCCCGCGGTGCCGGGACGGCCGGTATGAGGTCCATATCCACCTCGCCGGTCGCTCAGGGAACATTCCTGCACCAGCAGTCACCGTCTGGGCCACATGGGTTCCCACCGACCCAGCCTCAATTCAACGTTGTATCCGCACATAGCCTGACACCAGCATGGCAAGTGCTCAGCACGCAAGTCGTACCCGCACCGACATTCGAGAATAACGCTTCAGGCGAGCAACCGTCAATGGGTGGCTTGATGCTCAAGATCCGCGGTACCTCTGGTCTGCCTGTGACCATGTTTGGAAAGGATAGGGACAAGGAGAGAGGAAGTCAACGACTGGAAGATATGATGGAGCAGTTTGGGAAACGCCTGGGCGAGCTCAGGCAGGTTATCGAGGCTGGACATCAGGTTCAGCCTACCCAGGATGCCCTGTTTGAAGGAGAAGAAGTGCTAGGCGGTGTAGATGCCAATGCTGTTTTGGATACAAACCCTCATGAACAGATGGATGGCCGTAACAATGCCAAGGATGAGACAGGCGACGACAGCAATATCTGAAGTATGTCGCAGAACGGTTTAATATAATGAAGAAACAGTGTGATGGCTCCGTATATCAATTTCTCTTGTTTAGATGCGTTTATTGTATCGTTGTGATCGACCTCATTTGATCAAATACCACAGATGTTTCTTTAGTATGCTGAAGTCCCGAATATGTGGGAGTTACATCCCACCTAGGTAGTATAGTTTACGTTGTGACCGAGCTACACCAATCAAGCAAACCGTTTCAATGATGTCAGAATCTGGAAAAGCTGGGTATCTATTGAGATCGATTTTAAACGCGATGGAATCCACGCAATTGACATCATGCAAAACAATATAGCGACCACAGTCCGAGAAATCGACGGAGTACAAAGAACAGAGACAATGCACGGGTAGCCAAGGTTCTGTACACAAACTATAGATCGCCAGATACCGAACAGTAGAAATCACACACCCAAACCGGAAACGCCGTCACGACTCATGCGACTAGGGGTATCAGAGCAAGAATGACAGAGCAACAAGTATCTGCAACAGATGCTCATACTACATGAAGAAAGTTTTAGTCGGAGGGTTGTTGGTTTCTGAGCCTTCGTCCGCGCGATCCGGGCAGAGGAACATTTTCTCTACCTTCCATCATGCCGGCCATTTTCTTTGTCAGCATCTTCTGAGGAAGCTTGTTATCAGTCACACCAGAGCTGGAGCAGTGTCTTTTGGCGGGCGGGGCGTCAGCTTCCTCAATCTCTGCTGATTTGTCGGCAGACAAGGACACCCGGCCGGTTGCTGATATGGAAGACTTGGATTGAGTGGCGGTTGAATCATCATCAGTGCCACACGCTAGTTGTTTTGCGACGATGTTTGCGTCGACTTCCCTAAGACCAGTGTTGGAAGGAGTCGCGGTAGTGGACGGAGGTTGCTGGGCTCCTACCTCGTCCTGAACATCGTGGTAGACGAAGCCTTTTAATGGAGTTCCGGTAGAACTGTCCAGAGAAGAAACAGAAGCGCTCGGCTCAGCGTTGCTAAACGGCAGGGCCTCAAGTTCCTTGGAGGTTCTCATCCTTTTGACCAAGTCATCATGCGCCTCGGTTCGAGGCAGGGTGGTTGGATACTCATAACGCCTCTTTTGAGGAGTGATGCCGGTTGGAATATACTCTTGAAGAGGGCGTTCTCGAATGTTGGTGCGAAGCTCCGACAAGGGTTTCTGAACTTCGTCGGACAGAGGCAGCGTCAATTCCCGAAGGCTCTCCATTTGTTGATTCGCGTCTTCCTGCAAACAGGTCGTTCGGTCACGAGAACCGGCTAGGTGTTCTTCAAATGCTGCGTAGGATTGTTGGGCATTGGACGCCATGCTCTGTAAGCTAGTCATGTGGGCGTCGCAGTACTGGCCATTCTGTGCTCGTGCCTTGGCGACAAAATCATCCAATGCGCCCATCTGTCTACTCATATCCTTCATCTGGGCGTCCACGATCCGTACGGTCTCCTCGTGCACTGACTCGGTGACTTTCTGGATGGATGCGTTGCGTTGATCGAATGTCTGCGAAATCAGTATTGACACATCTCTAATTGAGCGGCGGTTTCTTACCTCCCAATCATGCTGCATCTTGGTCTTGAATTCATCTCGAGATGCAATGACATCTTTGGCAAATTGCTCCGACTTGAATACCCATTCATCAACCTGCCGATCATAGTGCGCCGTTGCTTGTTCCAAGGAGTCACCCGAAGATGTGATGTCAGTCCGCACACACTCAACTCTGCCCTTCAAACGACCGAATTGTCTCTGGCGAGATTCATCAATCAATGACCTGATTTGTGACATGAGGTGATCCCGTTCCGCTTCAGCGTGGGCATTTTCCTCTTCCATGGTTTGGGCTAAATGCGCTGAAGCCCTGCGATTCGCCTCCACCGCCTGCTGATTAGCGTCCTGCAGTTGTAGGCGAAGCTGATTGATCTCAGCTTTTTGGCTATTGACGTGGGCTACCATGTCCTCAAACATGGATTTCAAATCTTTCCCGAGAGTGCTGTAAGATGCGTGGAGCTATGTCGGTTAGCACATGGAACTTGTTTGCAAACACGAGAATCCAGCTCACCTGGGCATGAAACTCTGAGAACTCGCCGATGACCTCCTTCGAGATACGGGCTGCCGCCGCTGACAGACCATTTAAACCCTCTCCGACCTTGCCTTTGACTTCTTCGCGCAGAACCTTAATCTCTTCGAGGACGTTGTTCATCTGATCATGAGAATCGGAAGTCTGAGCCTGAGCCTCCCGTAGCGCTCTGTCGAAAGAGAGGTTGAAATTGCGAAGTTCTTCTTCAGTTGACTGGAATTGGGTCAATTCGCCCTCGACAAAAGTATTGATCTTCGTGACGAAGTGCTCAGCGAGCTTTGAGTGTCGGTCTAAGAACTTCTCGACCCTACTATCGACCATGCTTGTCACATCAGCAACTTCGTCTACAGAAGTCTCCCATTTCTCCCGATTCGTTGCCTCGAGGTCTGCTTTCCGTTCTAGTTTCGCATGCAACCCTTCCACATCACCAACTGTCTTTTCCAACGTCGATACCAAATCGGACCCAATATTGCGCAGTTGGGCTTCCGTATCCTGATGGGCTTTGCGTAACATTTCTTCCTCTTCGAGAGTGGCTCTTGTATCCTTCAAAACAATTTCCGTTTTCTCGAGGATATCACTGGTCTCGTTCAACGCCGCACGTGTATCCTCGTGATCCTTCTTGAGGTTGTTAAAGTTGCTGGTCAACGTGAATAGCTCTTGAACCTTGTTCCGTAGGCTAGACTCCATGGACTCGATCTTGGCTCTTTGTTCCTCATTGACAATTCTTCGGGATTCGCTCTCCATCGTCATCTGCTCATAGGCATCGGGTGACATGTAAACACCGTTCCTATGTCTTGTGGCGATAAGTTCCCCTTTGAGCTTCTCGATTTCTAGTGTGAACTCTCGAAGAAGAGTCTTTTTCGCCATATAGTTGATCTGAGGTTTATTGCGGATGTTCTTGGCCCGGAATGCGTAGTCCAGCGTGGATATGGTCTCTTCCAGATTGCTACGGGAGGGCGAGATTGTGGCAATTATGCATGTTTTTGTTCGCCCGCCTAGTGAGTCTTGCAGTAACCGCGTGAGTTTTGATTCTCTGCTTGCATGTTAGTTTCCTCTTCCCCACGGAGGCCTTGAAGAAGTGTCACGTACCTGTACGGGATGTGCGGGCTTTTATCTACCAGCGCATTGATCACACGACCAAGAGTAAGCAGGCTTTTATTGATCAAACCAGCCTCCGTAGCTCGCTTGTTCTCAGCACCGCTGCGCTGGATATTCTCACTACCAGCAAGGTCGACCAGGTTGAGCTTTCCAGAACTGATGTAGTCATCCCCGTTCTCAGTGGTCCGTTTGGTATAGACCGTAATTGTGAAGATCGTGTGGCTTCGAGAGCTCAGGTCGTTGCATTTGGTCGCAGCGACCTGGCGCTTATGACTGCCAAGCTGAAGTAATTTAATACCAGCTGATGCCGAGTCAATCCACGTTTCCTCCATCCCTTGTACAAGTGTGCTGCCGCTGGTGCCTTTTTTCTCGTTCTCGAATATCTTCAACTTAGGGTTCTCCTCGGCTGAAAGCAAGTCGCGCAACTCTTCGTTGTAAAGCTCAATGAAAGAGCATTTTACCGTGCTTTCCGTGTCCTCGAGCTTGTGGAACAACGAGTACAAAACACGTGGTATTATACCAGCATTGTCGGATAGTATCCCAAGAGTGTCTGTCATATCACCTGACATGGTGTATGTCTTACCCGTTCCTGTCTGCCCGTACGCGAAGACAGTACAGTTGTAACCCGCGAGCATCTGCTTCCATTAGCTGGTCGACTTCTTGCTATTTTTCACAAGGTTTGCAGTAAATAGCTGACCTCATTCACAATTGGAAGAACAACGTCCTCGTATACAGTAACCTGATCAGCCGCAGCCGAGAAGACTTTGTCGAAAGTGTAAGCTTTATTCGAAACTGCATTCGGGCCCATTGACAGCTCCACAGTCTTTCCCTTTGCTCCCTCGGTTGATACTACCACGCCGCTGTTCTCCTTGACTTCGCGATCATTACGCCCACGGCATCGTACAACCACGTGAATACTCGTGTCCTCGTTAATCTCGCGCTCATAATCTCTCTGATTCCTTATCGCAGAAATGCTGGCCGTGTCGCTCGGTGACTTCAGACGAGACGCGTTGGGGGCAGAAGCTTTCGCCGGTATCGCCGACGATGTTCTTCTCTCAGTTGCTGACGAGGTCGGGCGCCGTGTTGCTTGTCGCGTACCCGTCCTCCTGGTGGGCAGGCCGGAGGCAGGCCGTTGGGGGCCGGCCATGGTGAAAGGTCAACGGGCAAATTATTCCGATACTTCAAAACAAGGAAACAATAACTATCGGAGATGAGTATGCTAGTAATCTAGCAAGAAAACTGTTCGGTTGGTTGCTGGATGTCGGCAAGGTGTCTGTCTCTATTGAGATGAAAGTAACTAGGCCACCGTTTGTTGTGGCTCGATGGAGACTGGAAAAGGAAAATGTAAACAAACCCGCATGTTGCGCACGCGCCACTATATGGTTTGTGCTCCAGGGGTCATCCCCCCCTCTCACATGATCCGATGTGGTCATCGCCTATCCATCTCATACATATCTGCAGCCTATCTACTCTTCATCATCGCATCTCCTTATCTCAATCTCAACTGAACTAATACCTCAAGTATTATCTAGGAATTTACCTTACGTTGTCTATCTTTGGAAAGACGCTCTGTACACGTACAAGCGGCTTTCACTCACATGTATACCTCATGATGAGAATCGGTCCCTGATCACCATGACCGCCCCGAGAGTTCCCATGCAGGCCCAGATATCTCCTGGGAAGGGACTGGGCTTCATCAGCATGTTCCCCTCTGTTACTCTCTTACTCTATAGAGCTAATCTTGAATAGCGCTTGGTGCTTCCCTCCACAATGTTTTAACTCGTGTAAAATCACATCCACACCTCTACCCCGCAGTCGATCTTGCCTACTCCTCATCCGATCCCATGCGGAAGCCAGTCATTCTACAGCTTCCTTCGAATGGCCTTCGCCTGCGATTTGATGGGCCCGATCAAAGGTTACGGCTTATTGAGGTGCTAGACTTCTCGAAAATCACTTTGATTTACAAAAACCAAGAAGTAATGAAGGGCGTGAAACCACAAGAACAAGCCGTTTCGCAACAAGGTCCTAGTTTTCGTCATATCTACAATCGCCTCTTCGGGCCCTCCTACCCGGGCGAATATACACCTCCAGGTGATGGACATTCACCATATGGGACATATGTGCTCTCATATCCGGGGGTTGCGTTCTCGTTCCCTCTACAGAACTCAGCATGGTCAGAGCAATGTGATTTTGTAGCTCTGCTTTCTTCATCGGCAGCTTTACCAGCGACATCCATGGCTATATTCCAGGGCGCCTCTTGGCCGGAGGCTAGGGATAAGCTGTTCTCACAGCAGCCGCAATATCCTCGGTCTCCAGCACTAAGTGGCAAGAACCGTGATCTCGTCTCGGATGAGATTGAAGAGTTCATCATCTTCGGCGCCGGCAAGATGGAGGTAATCCGCAGATCTAGTGCTCCTACTAGTATCACGCTGTCAGAGACGACTCCACAGGATCTTATTGCTGAGTTTGGACCACCTGATGCTATCTATCGGAAGAATGACCGGAGAATATCCATTCACCGGGCAGCCGGTAATAATAGTGCAGCAGATGCACTGCACATGAGCCCTTCCCCAGGTAGGGGGATCGATGTCACTGACACGGATCAATCTTCGAGCAACAGCGTCACTGATGACTCAGATGAGGAGATCTCCCCTGTCAATAATATTGACCCTTCATCGCTCCCTACTGAATGCTTCTTTAATTATTTCCATCACGGTTTCGATGCCTTTATCTCGTATCCCACTGTCGTCGGCCCTGCTTTCCCGAGATCTGATTTGTCCGACTCATCGCCTCCACCACCTTCTTCTCAACTCGTCGTCACTAAGATCATACTGCACGGAAATATTCCAGGCTCATATCCGTTTAACCGTCATCGACGCAGTCGTTGGACGATCAGTGTCGATCCGGCAGGTGATGTCGTGACGTCCGAGACCCCGTACGACGCGATTTCTGAGAAGTTGAGGGAGGTCTGGAAAGGATCTTATGCAAGCACTGCGGAGGAGCGGGCCTTACAACGGCCCATGGTGCTGAATCGCGGTTGGGGGGACAGTCCTGAGAGTAGTGTCGAGTTCCTGGGTGGTTGGGAGGAAACTACTGCCAGAGGACACCGGAACGGTCATGATGGTCACGATGGGGGCTTGGGTAATACTGAATTATTCGGTTTCCCCGGGCTGCTATTCGAAGTGATGAAGAATGGGGCTGTGAGCTGCTTGACCGTATATTGATTGCTGCTTGGGATGGTATAGACTGGAGTCTGGAGTTCGCCTATCAAGTCCGACATCACTTCATGAGTCACGACAATGAGTCACGACGTTGCCAATTAGATGATACCTTAATTATTTTCAAATGGATTACCTTTATAATTGAAGATGATGGTCTTTTCCTCCAAAATATTCGTCATCTTGGTAGATCTGCAATGGGTCGACATAGTAGGGTGTATATATCAATTTGGAGTTCCAGGCACTAAAGCTCTAGTGTTATCTCCGATCGTCCCCGATCTCCTGGGGATGGGTCCCCATAATTATTTTTCATCCGTCTCACGCGCATAACTCCAACCCAAATCTTCAACGCGACCAACCTCAACCTCACCTCCGAGGCGGGATATGCTTCAGCGGTAGTATGCCGGAATTGCCGCGGTCGCTCGCTCGGTCCTGGTCGTCGACGCTGAAACTCCCCAAGTCAACATTCCCCGCACGCGTGACGCCGGCCGACCAGACAAAATACCTAAAGCGATGTACCGACGAGCTCTACGCCTGGCAGCGCCGTGAAAGGCCCGCCGACCGACCATTTGTATTGCATGATGGACCCCCCTACGCAAATGGCGACCTTCACGTTGGACATGCTCTCAACAAGATATTGAAGGATATAATCTGCCGAGTGCAGCTGGCTAAAGGGAAGCGCGTTCGGTATGTGCCCGGATGGGATTGCCATGGATTACCCATCGAGCTCAAGGCGCTTGAGCTTCAGAAAGAGCTTGGAAGCACCGGGGGATCTATCGGTGCTGCTGCTATTCGAAAAGCTGCGCGTAAGCTGGCAGGGCGGACAGTGAAAGAGCAGATGAAAGGCTTTCGAAGCTTCGGCGTGATGGCCGACTGGGACGGCCATTGGAAGACTATGGACAAGGAATTCGAGAAAAGACAACTTGGTGTTTTTCGTGAGATGGTGGATAAGGGACTGATCTATAGAAGGTTCAAACCAGTCTACTGGTCGCCGTCTACCGGGACAGCGCTTGCGGAAGCCGAATTGGAATACAAAGACGACCATGTTTCCACCGCTGCCCTGGTCAAATTTCCTCTGGTCTCAGTCCCTCCACAATTGGCTCAAGACCCTCTGGTACAGCTTAAGGACCTCAGTGCCGTCATTTGGACTACGACGCCTTGGACACTTCCCGCCAACGCTGTGATTGCTGTTCACGAATCCTTGGATTATATGATCGTTCAGTCGGATACTCACGGGCAGCTCCTCGTCGCTCAATCGCGGTTTGAGTATCTGGAACATATGCTGAAGGAGGATCTGACCGTTATCATTCCGTCTATTCGTGGCTCAGAGCTAGCAGAGCAGACAAAGTACCGACCGCTTTTCAAGCCAACTGACGCGGAACCGCAGCTGATCATAGCTGCGGATTTTGTCACTGCCGACTCTGGTTCAGGACTTGTGCATTGTGCTCCTGGTCATGGTATGGACGACTATGAAGCTTGTGTTCCTCGTGGCATTCCTGCGTTTGCTCCGGTTGATGATCATGGGAAATTCACCGACAAGGCCATGCCCAGTGACCCCGCAAGGCTGAGCGGAAAATGTGTCCTTGGAGAAGGGACGGCCGCTGTGCTCGAGTACATTGAGTCGCAAGGCTACCTGCTGGCAAAACATCAGTACGAGCATAAGTATCCTTACGATTGGAGGTCGAAGCTTCCAATCATCATCCGAGCAACTGAACAATGGTTTGCGGATGTGGCAGACATCCGTAACAGCGCTGTAACGGCTTTGGACGATGTCAGATTTGTGCCCAGTTCTGGAAAGCAACGCCTGGAGAACTTTGTCAAGAACCGTAGCGAATGGTGCATTTCACGCCAACGTGCCTGGGGTGTCCCAATCCCCGCCCTTTATAATCGGGCCACAGGCGATGCTGTGCTCACCCGGGACAGTGTCTCGCACATCATGTCTGTAATCGAGGAACGCGGCATAGATGCATGGTGGACTGACAATATGAATGACCCTGCGTGGATTCCGCCGGCGCTGCGAGAAGAGTCCGGACCCGGCTACAGGCGCGGCACTGATACCATGGATGTGTGGTTCGATAGCGGTACAAGTTGGACAGAGATCGACACCCCTCCTCGCGATGGATACTCTGCGGATGTTTACCTAGAAGGCACCGACCAGCACCGCGGCTGGTTCCAGTCCGGGCTTCTCACATACATTTCCCATCAGCTTGCCTCAGGGCAGACTGCTACTCCTCGAGCGCCATTCAAGAATCTCGTCACCCACGGATTTACTCTCGACGAGGAAGGACGCAAGATGAGTAAGTCCATTGGGAATGTGATTCACCCACAGTCGATCATTGACGGAACTCTTTTGCCCCCTCTTAAGCCGAGGAAAGGCAAAGGAAAGCAACAAGAAAACAAAGAGCCAGTATATGATGCCATGGGACCTGATGCGCTTCGTATGTGGGTTGCAAGTAGTGACTATACACGGGACGTCGTGATCGGAAAACAAGTGCTTCAGACTGTCAACACCAGCCTGCACAAATTCCGTGTGACTTTCAAGCTTCTTCTGGGTGCTCTGTCAGATTTCCGGCCACAGGACCAACTTCCATATAGCCAGTTGCAGCAGGTGGACCGCATGGCCCTTTTGCATCTGTCCGAGATGGTCCTCACTTGTCAAAAAGCATACGAGAATTTTGAATTCTACAAGGCTGTGAACGCAATGAACCGGTGGGCCAATCTTCAATTTTCGGCCTTCTACATGGAGGCGATCAAGGACCGTCTCTATACCTATGCGGAGAACAGCTCCAGCAGACGCGCCGCTCAGACAACCTTGTTCCACATTTATAACTACCTTCAGGAAATACTGGCTCCCATCACGCCCTTGCTTGTGGAAGAGACCTGGGAACATACCCCAGAAGCCATCAAGCTGCAATGCGAGCATCCCTTGAAGCGTGTAGCCTCGACGCCTCCTGTCGACTGGTTGGACCAGTCTCTTGAGGCCGATTATCAGGAAATCGTAGGGGTCAGTTCGGTCATCAAGGCTCTGCAAGAGCAAGCGAGAGGCAAGAAGCAGCTAGGCTCTTCCCTCCAGTCCTTCGTTCATATCGTGTTACCTGAGGGCAATTCGACCGGGTCGGCCCTGCAACGCAATCTGTCAGAGCTCAATGATATGTTCGTTGTCTCTTCAGTTACGCTCGGCGCGCATGGAGAGCCTATCCCAGCTGCCATTCTTGACGCAGAGTGGCAGTATAGCGACGCGTATGAGCTTCCCAGTGGAGGAAAGGGAACTGTGTACATCTACACGCCACAAGCGGATAAGTGTCCCCGTTGCTGGCGCTATGTTGTCCCAGAACCTCAGGCTGATGGCACACTGTGCAATCGTTGCGAGGATGTCGTGCGAGACCTTGATGCGTCAACTCCTGGCGAGACTGTTACTAATGGCACTGCCTAATTTCTTTTCTGATCCTTGCGTCTGATTCCTATTCGTCTATTCGGCTCTTAGCCGAGTCTAGGTAGCCATGTACTATGGCTTCCCGAGCTTGATTATGTACAGTAACCCCCTTCATTCTGGTTCCAAATTTAAGTAGTATTACAACGGATGTGGACCCCACATCACGTCAGGATTGAAATAAAACCTAGCCTAACCAGAGTTATCTAAATGGGATATTGATGTTCTTAGTCACAGAACGCAAGGGTGTTCTGGAGCAAAGGCAAGGCAGCAGTGGTATGATGCCGCCCACTTCGCCGTGGCAAAGACCTTACGCAGTTGTAGCTCAGGTATATCTTGTGACCAGAACCTCATATGTATCCAACATGCAGCTGCTTGCGGCCTGCATCCGCTCTAGAACCTTGGCGATTATAGGTGCTAATGAGTGTTATTGGTTGTGAAATGTTTTGCTGCACGAGTTGAAATAACTTCCCAGTTTTGATGACGCCACCATCGAGGTCAGTATGACGAGTGCTCCTTGTAGCCCGCAAATCAATTCCCCCACAGTACGAGCCCAGGCAACATGACGACAATTGTGCCACGAAAGCTCCTCTTTAAATTGATGTTAGCGGGGATGAATCTCGTTTTGACGTGTCGATCATCGAACTTGGTTATCCAGTGCGCCGATCAGATTAACTATTGATCATTCTTCCTTGGAGCTATAAACAGCGGAACTGCCATAATTCTTGACACTAACGAATACATTTGGAGGCAATACCGCGAATTTGCACTATTCAAGATGTTCGACTCGATGCTGTCTCATACGAAGGGCCCGTTTCCCTTGCCTACTTCGACCTCGTCAGTAGGTCCAGTACCTACCGTTATTCCCGGGGATACTCCCATCTTCCAGGAACTTGGAACGACTGGCAAGCGGACATTATGGTATGCATCTATTTGACAGATCTCACCAAAATCATGGCTAATAAGCTCAGGGTGGTTACAGTTCTCATGGGGCTCTCTTCACTGGTCTTCTACACTCTTAGTGCTCGAGTGCCGTTGGTATGTACTGAAACTCATAATCGTGGATAGAGAACTCACACGTCGCAGTCGAAGCGCGTCTTCCACACATTGGTCTCCATCATGACCACCGTCTCATTCCTCGTCTACCTTGCTCTCGCAACGGGAAGCGGCATGGCCTGGAAACACGACTCTCTCAAGCACACCCACAAGCATGTCCCCGACACCACGCAGGATTACTTCCGCCAGGTAATGTGGCTACGCTACCTCAACTGGTTCGTGACCGAGCCACTCAGTCTCATCAACCTGGCGTTGGTATCGGGCCTTCCTGGCGCTCATTTGCTCGTTGCCATTGCAGCTGATTATGTTATGCTGGGCTCCGGACTGCTTGGCACCTTTGTGGGCCACACGTCGCGCAGATGGGTTTGGTTCACCGTCAGCGCTCTGGGATACCTGACTACGGTTTACCATGTCGCAATCAATGGAGGTAAGGCGGCCAATAACAAGGATGCACAGACTAGACGCTTCTTTGCGTCTTTGTCTGGTGTGACTTTGATTGTCAAAGTGCTGTACCCCATGT